TATATTTAATTTATTATACATATATACAACATTTATGCATATGTCGTATATACCAATACGTTGTAGGACACCATTTACACAATATTCTGCCGAGATATAAAGAGAGAGAGAGAGAGCTGTATGTATAGCATTAAGTATGTACAGCATAGGGCTCCAATTATTTCGATAATCAAGAGGAATGCAACCAGAAATTGTGAGTTCGACAGAGCAAGTTGGAAATGTGACTATAACTTAGTTTATATACTATTGAATTACTCTAAACGAATATGAACTGAACCTTATACATGCATACATGTATGTATGTAGGTTGTGTTCTCCTCTGGAATGTTTCAGTGTAGAGTAAGGTCTCTTTGGGTGCGTTTAATTTATATGCCCATATTTATAGACGTTTGTAACTGTGCTCCACAACGAGCTGCCTGTGCTGCTCTACTTCTGTACATTACTTGATCTCTCTCTCTCTCTCTCTCTCTCTCTCTCTCTATCTCACTCTCAGTGTCTTTCTCTATCTGTGTACCGTCCCTTAATTCTAGCTGCTTCTTCCATACTGCTCGCAAGTAACAACACACATACACACACGCATTGCTTTTTGACAAGAGGCTCACTTGCCATCTCATTCTCTGTAAGAAACTTCGTGGACTACGCTCAGTAGCTGCTATGTTTCTCTCACTCTATAAGAAGAGTGCTGCCAACTTGATCAATACTTCGAGCACTACTTCCAGCACTATTGCACTACTTCATTGCTGAGCAGCAGCCATGCTTACCCCATTCTCACGGAGTGCCACATTGAGTCAACTTGAGCAATACTTCCAGCACTATTGCACTACTCCACTGCTCAGCAGCAAATAGCTTATCCAACTCTCACGAAGTGTCAATATCGGTACAATAAGAAGAGTGCTGCCAACTTGAGTAAGAGCTGCAAAGTGTGACTTCCAACACTGCCTAAAAGCACTATCCAACACTAGAGAGCACACTATGACATCATGATATATATATACATACATATAATATTAATTTATTATGTATATTATATTTCTATTACATTTATTTGATATTTTTGCTTAGTCCCAGGCTACATTCCCTATATAAATGCATAAGGCCGAGACAAACTCAATTTGCATGCTCCTCCACACTCAGCAGATTGCTTGTCTGCTTGTAGAGCTTTAATTATCTTATACAAATAGTAATTAGTAGCGCCCATGGGAGAGAGCGTGTGAGAGAGAGAGAGCATATATGCTCATAGTGCAGCATCAGCTGGAATGCTTGCTAGTTGCCTGAAATACTTATATAATTAGCAGGCAACAATTACAAATTGTATTTCGCGACTTTTGTGCTCACAATTTAATTGCAAAATTGTTCGCCAATTTTTGAGGCTAGCTGGCTGCCAATGGCATGGGCGTGGCAGCAGGTAGGCAGGCGGCGAACGGACTGTGGTGTGTGGTGTGTACGGGCGCTGGCTGCTGGCTGCTGGCTGGCGGCTGGCGGCGGTTGCAGGGGAGGTGTCGGCGCCTGAACGACAAAATGAGATTTTAACCGCAAACAGCAGCAAACAATTTCTGCTTTGGCCCGTGACGCTCCATGCTCTGGCAATAAAATAACAATCAACGCAAGCCGCGGCCGTAACGCGGTAAAGGCGTACTGAGGCGCCGGGCGTGGCCATGGAGCAGACAAAGTTTGAAGAGCTGCCTGGCGGGGCGGTCTGGCTGGCAAACGGTAACCAGCATACTCGACCGACCCAACAAACCCCGCCCGAAACCCACCCAACCGACAACGATGTCGAGGCAAGGGACCCCACCCATCGTCGAGGCAGAACGCACTTTATTCTGACCCAGCAACGAAAAAGGCAGCGGCCACCCCCACACCTTAACCCAACTTCCCCCCCTCGCCCCCGTCGCCCACGCCCATGGCGTTGTTACAGAATTTGTGATTTTCATTGCAAAAGTTGTTTCAGTTCTTTTGGCTGTTGTTTTCGCAAATTAATGAAATAATTTCAATCTCTTAATTGAAGTTAATTGTCCCTGGCTGGCTTCAAGTTTCAGTTACTAGCATGAAAAGATACGATAATATGTGAGAAATAGGTTATGTTACCTACTGAACGCAAGTGAGATAAAGGAGTAGAAAGAAACATACAGATAACTGTAACTGGCTCGATTTGTGTTTAGGACTTTACCCCTTCAACAACTGACTGAGGGGTACAAAAGTCACTGGAAGGAATCTCTACCCAGTATATCTGAAATCTCCAGTTTTTATGAAGGTATCAAGAATACATCGGCATATATAGTTGATGGGGTCTGGCTCGTTCCTCGAGTTAACTTCTCTATTGAATTAAACGAATCATTTTAATGCTCAACCAAAACCGTTAACATTGTATATTTCCATAGAACATTTAACAAAGTTAAGTTTGGCAATTTGTGTTTCTTGAACAAAAGTCAATCAAAAGTCATAAATTTATAACACGAACAGATTTGATGATGTTGCCCCTCTTCCAGCAGTGATTTATCTGAAAATTCATCAGAATTCGTTTTTAAAACATGTTTTTCTCCTCTTTTTTTTGTTTTGTTTTTTGAATTGCTTGAAACTTATTCAAGTGTTTTTGTTGATTGTTGTTTCCGTTTCTGTTGCATATTGAAATTTTAATTTAAACTTGAATTTTGAAGTCCCGTCAAGGAGCTTAATTATTTGCTGATGATATTTGGCTAAGAAAAATGAATATGTAAAG